TAACTTGTGCTATTGGACATTGATTGTGATAATATTTTGATCATATTCCATTCCTTTTTGAGTTCTAATTCCATCCAATTGTCTCCTATCAATCTTCAAAGTATCATCTTGTGGTCCGAATCAACTATTGAATTTGTAATTTGGTCCTCAAACTTTGGACTTTGCTTCATTTTAGCCAGTTTTTGCTTGTTTTTCCTAATTTTTGCCATATTCATCATTATTGTCCTGTAGAACACAAATTACATCGAATTAAGCTATATTCAATATATTTATTAACAATTATCTATGTCTATGGCCCAAAATAAGTGCGTAAAACGCACTTATCAAGTATTACATGTAAACCTAAAAACATTTCTTATTTTTTAACCACATTCTCTACCAATTTACTATTTCAAAATACAATCTTAAAAAATAATGAGCTATGCTCTTAATTGATTGAGAAAGAAACAAAACTTAATTCAACAGATTAGCCTAAAATGGCCCACCCCACAACTAGTTAGACTTGTGTTCACGTGAGACCAATCCTTACCCAGTAAGCATTACTTGGCGTATGTTTGTTCCTCTAAAATAAAATTTTTAATTTTTATACTCATTTTAATCATACATTCACATAATAAAATATTTTATAAGTAAATTCATAACTTTTTTCCTACTTTTTAATCCACATTTTTCAATAAATTATTATTCAAAACATCATTTTTTTTTTCAAATAATGATCATCAAATAGTGGCTTAGTATCTATCCAATTATGGGCATTAAATGGGGCGAGTCGAGTTATTTCTCTCGTTTCACAAGCTCCGGCCACTTGGTGGGACGAGTCAAGTTGAGCAATTTATTTATTTATTTGGAAAAATTATTCTTTTTCTACTGGAAATATAATGAAGACGTAAATTAATAAAAAAACACGTATGAAATTATAAATTTTGTAAAAAAATCGCCTCATTTATTAGTGCTTGGGACCTCCTACAATATGTATGCGGAGTTAAATTGTATATTTTGTGTACAATTTTTTTAAAAAAAATTCAAATATCCTTCAAATACATTAGGATCTCAATATATTTTCTTTCAACCTACTTGTTTCGTCGGACTAACCCACTAAACCATTCCTCCAATGCTACAATTGACACCGAAGACGTTAGTAGATCACGTGCCATCAAAGATAATATAAGCAACTATTTTTCATTTGTTCCCCACCATGAGAGAGAATCAAAATTATTTATCCCTTCTCAACTTAAAATAGTAAGAATATGGTGCGAAAAATATCTAATTAATTCTACGTGGATTTTGTTTTGTAGTCTATTATTATCACTAGAAAATTAAGTAGATGATGAACTTACCGACAATAGCGTACTTAAATAGGCCCATATGTCAATGACGCAACAGTGGTATTGGATCATAACTTCTGCCAAGTTTGACAACAAATTTTGAATTATGTTATGTGATATCAAAAGTCAAATGAACAGAAATTTTTCATAATAGATTTGCAACCTACAATAGATTTTTCATAACACATTGACAATAGTATCCTCACACCACACCGCATGTCATCATAATAAAATCGGATTTGTCTTCATAGAATTGGATGAATGGAGTTAAATAAATGCATAGAAGCCACTCAAAACTAGAGGTTGAAACCTCAACCTGCAGGAATCAGTGCTGATATCTTCTAGGGGAGGACCTATCTTATATCTTTGAATGGCGTGTTCGAATTTAACTTCAAGAATTTAGTGGCTGAAATTATTATTATTATTTTGAAATTTAGCCGATTTGAAATTGAAGTCTTAACCAATGTTTATAAAATCGGACCGGATCAGTCGGTTCAACCGGCAAAATAGAGAATCGGAAATCCGATCCGATTATATTAAGATAACCGATTAATTCATAACTGGTCAAATAACTAGAAAACCTGTCAATTAAACCAAAAACCTAGAACTTGTCACAATTTTTGGACCGATTTTCAAAAC